ATCAAATAACATCTTTTACTTTTTCTGCACGAAATTCGTCGATTCATATGTTTACAGAGCATTTATACATTATAGCTGTTGTCAGTTCGTGATGAACACTCTAATCCTACACCCGTTATTTCTACAGTAAATAACCAACCGTAATTAGGAACAGTGTGAGGACTCTTAAAAATCGATTCAAGTCTTTATTACATCTACGAAGAAGAGTTTATGTTATTGTTTCTTCAGTTTATAGATAGAGGAACCTGTAGAAAACTATAACAGATTTATTAACCATTAGAAATTTATCTACACTTTGCCATACGGTTGTTCTATTTTCTATAAGTTAGCTATTTACCAAGCTTTTTTTTTATTGACAAAGAACTAACTGAAAATTTGTCACAGTTGTATTAAGCTTATCTTTACACTACAGTGTCGTCAAACTGGTGTTATATATCGTGGTCTAATGGTTAAGCACTCGCGCGTGAGACTGATAGGTCCTGGGTTTGAATCTCGCGAGGTGCAGGATCGTGGATGCGCACTGCTGAAGGGACCCACATTAGAACGAAACGGCCGTCCAGTGCTTCCAGGTTTCCCATAATGGTATAGCTTCAATTGACTCATGATTTCAACTAGCAAAATTTCTAAAATCTTCACAAAACCCCTTCTGTTATATAAAAAGCCTTGTAAAAAAATACATTTATATATTATATATAGGATGTTAATAGTGTATAAAAAACAATTCACTATTACCTATCGTAAAATAGAGATAAGGTACTGTGAAAGTAAAAACATGGTTAGTTCGAACTCCTACGTGCACAATTTTTTGCTCTACAAAACATAAAGCAGTGCATTTTCGTTCTTATTTATTGTATACAAATTAAGATTAGTGACAAAAGGCTTTCTCTTCACTAAAATAATAATGGATCTTGTTGGTTTAAATATCTTAAAATAAATCATTATTTCTGTGTTCATGTTTCATATAGTATAACTTCATTCAGTTAACTTTTCACTGAATCTGTTAAAAAAAGAACGATGAAAAATCATCTTTAAAACTATTTATGGATTTATAAACAATTCAAAAATAAACGTATCCAGATTCAGATACGTTTATGATATTGGAGAAGTTTCTCTACTGTTAATAAGATGGGAAAGAGGTTTAAAATGGCTATAAACTTTATAAAAAACTATTATACACATTTACATTTGAATACTTATCAAATAAAATTAACTTTGTTAGATACAGTGTTTATTCATCGAGAATCATCGATGTCATTATCACAGTAATCACTTCTTCAGTATATTTATTGATATTGAAAGCTTCTTCCAAAAACATTCAATTTACATTGGTTTATGTCTTATCAATAACCATAAATTTTCATTCTTAGATATATTAATACACGTCAGACGAGTTCATGTCAATTGTAATATAATTTCTTGGATACTAATAGAACAGATCAATAAACAAAGAGATCATAACCTTGTTATTGTGTTGAACCGACTGAAATTTAAGAAGTGCTCTCGAGATTTGAAAATTCTGAGTTCGGTTCAGTTTTAATTTGTGAGTGCCTACTGCTGAAGAATTACAAAATAGGTGCTAGATACTCCTAAATTTCTAAAGTATCTCAAAATGATATCAGTTCATGATGAGAACTCTTTGTTACTTCACTACATCCTATTTGAGAATGTTTAATTATTTCTCCTTATTAACGTTTACAGCACTATCGAAAATCGATTAGGTTTATTTATTTACATTGTTTATAATGCATATCTACACGTATTCTATATTCATTGACATTATATGAATAAAATTAAGAGTGCGAACTTTTCCCCACCTTTCAGACTACAGTAGAAACTAATTCATCATCTAATTTGATTATAACTATTTTCTGGTTTATTCTTCTGATAGGGCTTAAACAAAAGACTCTTCTTTGAATTGCCAGAACTTATAATTTTAGTATTGTCAAGTTTTCTGAGCTACATGATTTAATTGTAAAGATTTCTTTGTTATTCTGGACAACATTTACCTCAGAGATTTCATCACTGAAACCAGTCATCTAAACTCATTGGAGTTAAGTAAATTATTGTAGATAAAAAGAAGTCCATTTTTATTTCAAAATCTATGAATTAACTCTTCAGTTCTAGCATCAAGTATGAAAATCTTCACATATAATTCAACACGACTACTATTAAAACAGTTGTTTGTGTAATCTAAACTAATATATTTCAAATTATCAACATCTATTGATATGAGGTGCTCTTCGGAACAAACTAATTTACTTACTCAATATGATTTTGCAGTAGTGGAGAAGATTTGATGCTCAGGTGAATGATTTAGGTGAAGTTTCGTTTTCTAAGCTGAATTATTTGGTTTTGGAGCTTTCATTGTTCATCATCAGCACAAGCTTCAAGTAGGAGTAAACCAAACCATCCATCTCAGAGAACAATACCCTACCTAAATTTCTTACTTGAAAAATTTAATCATACCTAAACGCTGATCATAGTGACCACAAATGTAAAATAACAGTAAATTATTTCTCAATCGTTCATATTTCTGATATCTGATTTCAAGATGATCATAAAATTTTTAGGCTTGAGATTGATGAAGATAAAAGTAATCAGTATTCCGGTTAGCATTCCGGAAATTTGCATACAAAAGAAATATATCCAACCAGTACATTCACTTCGACCAACCTCATGCACAAAAATCAATAGTGATTTTATTTATAAGATAATGTGATTCCCTTAATGTATATACAGTCTCCCTCTTTGTATCATCATAATTCTAAATTATCTTATTGAAATAATATCATCATTACTATCCATAAATAGTTTCGTCTTTATTATTCATCATTTAGCGATGTGGAGAATGTAATTAGTATTTATTCAGCTTTATTACTTATTACTTAGTTCACATCACTTCATATGTTATATAATGTTCGTTAAAACAATTACTCAATGTCATTTATATTTCATTAAGATTACTAATCGTACAATTTCAAATGACATTTTAAACATTACATATTAGTCACTTCAACACTAGGAATTTTAAAAGCAAATATGGATGGTGGCTAGTAGCGAAATCCAAGATGTGTGTTTCGTCCAACTCGGGACTCATCAGATGGATGTTCCTTGGAGTTGATGTTCACTCCGAGACTCCACATAGAATGCATATATGCCAATAAGAGACTGATCATTTTCAGTCCTAAACATCAATGGGAAGAGCTTAATTCTAATGTACTAAAACTCAAATTATGTTATAATTTCTAAAATATGTATTTGTCTTATTACTTGACAACAGAATTGATGCATACATTTCTCTTTATAACTGTAGGATCTGATGAAAAACTTTTTGAAAAGAATATTCTTTATTCATACTGTTTCAATTGACATTTCTGAGTTATAGTCCTCGGAAAACTTCATTTACTGCAGATTATTAAATACATACCAAATAAATTATTACCATTCGAGATCAATCTCTTAGCATTATTATCTATGAAACCATCTATTTTTAAGCCAAATACCTATGGTGTCTATACACTTACCATAGTTTAAGTTCATGTTTTTTCATCAAGCAATAACCATCATCCACTTTTATTTAAGCAGATGATGTGCTAAAAATAAAAACTGATTTCGATCGATCGACTTTTACGTTTTAACTTCAAACGTTTGCGACATTTTCTAATATAAGTATTGTCTTTGTTCGAAACTCGTTATTAATCTCGACCTGCAGCATCACTTCCCTCTTCAACTTAATCAAACCCAAAACCACATTTTGCAGAATATCGTTGAATATTTCTTAGTTTTCACGATCATTCTCAACTGTATAATAAAAACTGATTCTCAGTTTTATAGCCTTTGCATCAAAAACTAACATACCAACATATTGTTTTCATCGTTTTATGTAACTAGGTTGAATTCACCTACCTTGTGAAATGTGTGAATACCTTGTAGACCATAAAAGGATGACCAAATAGATTTTCATGAAATTTATTAGTCAGATCAACATAGGTAATATTTGAAGCAAGTTCTTTTATGAATCAGTACTTAAGAGAATAAGATAATACGCCGCACATATTTTGTAGTAGTTCTGTATAAAATCTATTTTCGTATTTTCCTTATTTCGGTCATATATGATATTCACTAATTATTCATCAGTAGTAGTAAAATCGACATACAAATGACTATACTTGATCTGAATGATTATCATTATCTTTGGAAAGTGAATAAACTTGTCATTTTCCATCAGTTTTATCTTCATTCTTGAATAGTACTAATTTTAATGTTTTCTTATCTTAAGTACCAGTGTTTTAAGGTTATAATAGCGTTATAAAGTAAACCATCAAAATGCATAATGTATTAAACAATTGCAACTTTATTCTAGTTTGTGTCTGACTTAGCACCAGTGTAAACTTACGATCAAACATATAGACCAGATTTGAAACTTAAAAGCCTTGGGATAAAATTGATATAATTAAACCAATGGTTTATATTTCTCAACTTCAATTTATGACCACTTAACCAATCAATTAAGATAAATAACCTGTCAATTCTCTATGATTTTCGGTATCATTTCTTATCTTTTGACAATCACCATTATCATCATCATAATCATAATCATATCTTAAATAAATAAATTAAAGTTTTTTTAAAAAAAAGTGATTTATTTACTTAGAAACAATTATAACTAACTAATTATTAGAAATTAAATCACAAAGTTAATGTAAACAATATCATGAAAGGGTACATGTTCAAAAAAAAAAAACAAAAAAAGGTGACAATATAATTTGACACAGTGATAAAATGATAATTATTAAATATTCAATGCAAAGAAAAAAATATTATAATTAATTATTTAAATTATGAACTAAATAATAAAATGAAATTGGAATGTCAATTTTATAAATAATTTCATGATTAAATAATTGACAATAAATTTTATGAAGTCAAATGAAATACAACGTTTAATGTTTTGTAAAACAATACAGAAAGACATATAGTTATAGAGGGTGGGTTAAAGTGATGTGGGGAGGTGAAAAATCAGTGCATACACACATACATATATATGGGAACTTAATTATTTTTTTTTATTTGTACTCACATTATCGGGATTATTATCCATATCATTACAACTTATTGCCTTTTTTTGAATTAGTTGAGTCAGAATGTTTACCTCTGGTTCTTTTATGTATGTTTTTCAATAAATTTGATGATTGATCTGCCTTGTTGTAGTCGTTTTCGTGTTCATGATGATGTTCGTGATCATTCTCATGTTCATTTTCGTGGTCGTGTTCGTCCCCGTGATTTTCTTCTTTATCATTATGATGTTCAGATGATTGATGGCTATCTGTTGTGACGTCTAAATTATGCTCTGTATCATTTGTTTCATCACCGTTGTGTAGATGATTGTCAAACTTCGGTTCATCAGATTCAGTGATCGTTTCGTACAGTTCACTTGAAGTAACTTCAGAATCCATTGATGTAGATGACATTTCAGTAACTGTAAACTCCCCAGGTAAATCTGAGTTTGTTGTATTAGCTTCTTCTTGTAGAAGGTAATCTGTGATATCTCATTGAAGAATTTCATTTTTAATATTAAATGAAAGAAAATAATACACAGATAGATCTTTCGAAAATCAAATTAAGTTATACATATTTCTGATACTAACATAGAATTTTACCTGCCACCTATTGCATATAAAAGTATGAGCTTCTCGGAGAGTCTAATTTCATACATAATAGTGAGAAAATTCATACAACTCAACATCTATCAAGCAGTTTTACATAGGCTATCATATCTCAGGAATGCAAACCAGCTTCCAGCTGAAGAGGAAATTAGGAAAAGACTCTGGAAATAGATAAGATATACATTTCCGAAACCACCAAACTACATCACAAGGTAAGCGCTTACCTGCAATCCCAAAGGGGGGTGGAAAAAAAGGAAGATCAAAGAATACACTATGTCGAGAATTGAAAACAGACATAAAAAGGATCAACAGCAACTGGAAACAACTGAAAAGGATTGTTCAGGACATAGTTCGATGTAGAATGCTAGCGGACGGCTGGTGCTCGTCTACGAGAGGTAACAGACTTAAGTAAGTAATATAAACCCAAGAATTTTTATTCATTTTTTTAAAATGAATATCAGTTTTATTTTTATTTATTTTTCAATGCTCAAGTTAAATCATCCAACGTGACAATAAATTCAGTTTTGAACTATTTCAAATTTATTTATGTTTATAAATAATTTAAATTTGATCAATTTCACTTTAAAGACTAAATTTATATTGGAAATCCAAATCGAATGTTAAAAGGGAATAAAATGTGATATTATGACTTATTTCACCGGTGTATTTGATCAGTATAATATTCTTTTATATTCATTTAATGTGATACTCTTTCAGTATAACATCTAACATTCGTTTATATTAATTCAGTCTGGTTAATTTTTCATTACAACATTAGTTTGCGTAATTTTAGTCTAGACTTTAGTTTTGTTCCAATTATTTTCAGTTAATCGTTAAATGTCATTAAAATCGCTATATAAATGAGTGTATTTAATTAATAAATGATTGTAGTAAGTAAAATCTTTGATTATCATCAGTGTTTATTTACTTCTTGGGAGTTTCATCAGCCCTTATGGTCTGGTGTGTGACAAAATCTCAGTACGGATACAGAAAGCTCGACTAGCTTTTGCCAAATCGCGTCATTTGTGGCGCAGGCGAGATATCCGTCTACCAACTAAAAGACAGGTTTACTGCGTAGCAGTTCGTTCCGTCCTACTTTATGGCTTTGAAACATGGCTGTTAAAAGTAGAGGATATTTGTAGGTTAATAGTATTCAATCACAGGTGTCTTCGAAGCATTGCTCATATATCCTGGGACCACCGAGAAAGTAATGTAGTTGTTTGGAAACGGGTACTAGGTATTGAAGCTTCATCAGTTGAGATGGCTGGGACATGTGTTACTTATGCCCAACCACCGACTGCCCCGGCGTGCGATGTTTTATGGTATAGGAGTAGGTTGGAAGAAAACTAGGGGTGGCCGGACCAAAAAATGGTAGAAATCCATGAAGTCACTGACAAGTGGACTGAGCCATGTTGGTAGGTGTACACTACCTGGTTGGGATCCGTGAGACGATAGCAAGTGACGGTTAGAGACCTCGAGTGAGATGGCTCAAAAGCGTGTGCAATGGCGCAGGTGCATCCACTCTTTGTGTTCTAGCAAATTATAATCTTCTGAATTCTTCATGTCCCTTTCTTTCTCTTTCCAAATTTGTTTCACTAGGTTATACTCCTTGAAGAACATCTTCAAACCCTAATCCTTCCGATTACTGCTTGTAACTTTACTACCTCTACTACTACGGGGTTTGAATTGACAATTATATCTCTGTGCTAATGTGGTATGGCAACTCAAACTGATGTAAGTACGAACGAAGTTCTACGTTGTTACTGACTGACTCCCATGAGTCATGCGAATCTGTTTTCCCGTGTTTAAATTTCAAAATTATAATACTAAGCATAAATATTTACCATTTTCAGACGAATGACATTTGTCAGTTACGGAATCTTATCTCGTTTTATAATCATATAATACACAATATGAATAGTTTGTCAACACTGGGAGATTTAAAATTTTTCCCGACATTATCGATTCATCCCCTCTGATATCTAAATCAGTCTTTGGTAAAAATTGATTTCCTTAGTAAGTCACTTCTTTTACATCGTTGTTATCGGTTATCTGATTTATTTTCAACAAGCTTTTATGAATTTAAATCAAAAAAATTCAAAGTTAATAAATTATTGGATGAAATGTGACCCATTGGTAAACGTCCGCTTGATCGGATTATGGAAGCAAGCACCTAATTGAACTGGTATCACATGGGACAAGACATCTGCTTAGCAGAATAGGTTTTATCCTTTTAACAAAATAATATGATTATGATTCAATTAACAAATAAACAATTTAAGGATATGACAACTATAGGTTATTCACTTTACAGTAAAACTAATGTCTAACTATTAATCATATTTCTTACCTCATAATATCATTATTTGATTATTCTCAACAAATATGAAAGAAAGTAACTCATCTAAAGTGCAGCTGAAATCTTGTACGTATGGTTTACATAATTACCGACTATTTATATTTTATTGTTAATTTCATTTTCGAATTGTTTGCCTGAATCTTCTCATTGATGTTTAGGACCGCAAGTGATCAGTCTCTTATTGACATATGTGCATTCTGTGCGGACCGCCTTGATATTGCTTTAAGTCATAAGCATTATAAGCAAAGATGAATGGTGGCTAGCAGTGGAATCCAGGACGCCTGTCTCGTCCTATTCGGGACTCGTCAGCCGAATGTGCCTGCATCCGAGAGTTGATGTTCACTCCAGGACTCGAACCCAGTACTGCTCTCTTCAAACGCCATCGCGTTATTCATTTAGCTACCGAGTCCTGATAGCCACTAGCTTGTGACTTATGGAGCGTCCTGGATTCCACTGCTAGTCACTATCTATCTCTTTCATTATTAATGTTCTACATTTTATTAACGAATTCCTTAAATTGTCTTCTGAGAAGTGTTTAAAAATTATTTTCATTTTGAGCACTATTTTATTCATTCCAGGAATTGCTAACAATATCTCTAGATAACTGGATTTTACTGATGAGCCAGTGATTTCAAATATAATTTTAAAATTCATTTTAAATTTCTAAACTGTTTAAAATTTTTACTTTTACTATTTAATTGAATTAATGAAATTAGTTGTTATCTTTTATTATTATTGTCTACTGTTTATATACATATCCACTGCACAAGTTGGCATTTATCTACATTTAGCAAAATAATGGATAACGCGATAAAATCTCAAGCTCTAGGTTTTAAGTTCGACTTCTAGTGTGAATACATCAACACTAATATTCAGGTGCATGTAACTGGAATGTTTTAAATGGGACGAAGCGCACCTATTGGATTCTACTGCTGCTAGCCGTTAACTGGAAATAGAACAGATGATTGGGTGTAGCTGATAAGTAATGATAATCAACCTAGGTTTCGTGCTACTTGGGACTCGCTAGTAAGGAGTACCTGTAATCTTGATAGAATCAATACTCTCTGTGGGATTTGAACACATTACCCACCCATACAGCCTGAGACTTTACCATTAAACTATTCTTGTTGCAGATGTTTTCCAGTAGGTCTGCAAATTTTTCAGCCAGTTGATAACTGAGGAATGACTAGTATAATATCTACCAAATTATTAGTGGTGATCAACACAAATCAATCAACACTGGATAAACATGATCAATCAATTGAAAACTTAGTAACTTGATTTTAGTTCAGTGAATTTGCAGAAACTTTTGAATTTTCACCAGGAAATATTGAAATGCTATTTTGTCCTAATATCAAACCACTTACTAATCCTTATTATATAAAATGAATATAATCCATGAGACGAAGGGAACCTTATATCAATTATAATGTAAATTCATGGCAGTCTTTTTTTTGTTTTTAAACATAAACCTTTTGAAGAAAACAGAACTAACCTGATTGTTGCGTTGGATTTGATGTAATGAAATTCACATAAGTTATTAAACACAATAGAAATATCATTTTCCACAATAAATATTATTTATATAAAAAATAGTAGTAGAGCTGAAAGTTAATCAAAAATATTTATTAGTTTAAAGATTCATTTATTATTTGTAAATGTATACAACAAAATGTTTTAGATAGGCTAGTAGGATACGTCAACCATGCACTTACGTACATTTTAATTCTAGATAAGGATTTATAGTTTACAAACTATACACTATATTCAATTATGTTTGTTTCGATGATGGATACACAGATATCTCGATAAAATAGATTGTGTTTTCTGTATTCGCTTCTAACTGAAACAGACAAAATTTACGATCTACTGAATATTAACAAGATAAGCTTGAATATGAGGCCATATTTATATTTTGCCCTAGAGATGGTTGATCCATTTCTCAAACCTTTTTTAGAATTTTATTTATCATAACAAGGTGGCACCAGCTAACGAATCTTTGGAAGGATATTAAACATTAGGTTACTAATGTGTTCTACTTATAAACTTCACAATAATGTCCATGACCATGATCCCACACACAGTATCCACCTCAAGATATCCAGATTACTCAGTAAATATAGTATTTTATACCTTTGAATCAAAAACCATGGGTTTAAAATTTCGAGATTCAATTAAACTGTAATGTAACATGATTTATTGTTTCTGCTCTGACCTGGTTAATGTTTCGTGAATCAAAATTTTTGAGTAGAAAATGGGGAAAATTTCTCTTAAAGCTTGACGTTTAATAGTCAACTAGAAAACTTTATACATGCGATTTTGTGCAAATTTGCATGATTTCAGTGTTGCATCACAAACTAACATCTACATCACTACATCAGTAAAATCCTGAAACCGAAGGATAATATTTAATGTATAAAAGGGACTTTTACGTAAATCTTACATATGTATCAGCATGAGGGTTGTAATGGTTATTGAACTTTATTGAGACCACAAGCCAATCTAATTGAAGCAAACATTAAAAACCAGGAATCACTAAGCAGCTGTTTCCTCTTAGTATGTGCATGACCACCAATGCCTATCTATGACGCTACAACAGAGAATCA